CCCTCTCCAGTCAGGGGAAGACAGGCACCTTCATGGATTCATTCACATATTGCAGACACATTTTTAGGATGAAGTAAACCACCTTCAGGATCCATTTCTCTCTTTCAGCTAGAGGTAGCCTAGACAATCTAGACGAAGTACAGCTCTCAGGCATTTACATCACCAGCTGTGTACACACCAGATGACAAGAGAGGAATCTACTGTTCAGTTCTGGCACTTCCACACAAGTTGCACCTTCCAGTTAGGTAAAAGGAGAAGTCATATACAAAGAGCACTGCAGAGAAGCAAGTAAAGATTAGGAAACTAACTCTGGTAAGGGGTTTTTGTTTGTTTATTTGTTTGTTAACACCCCCCCCCAAACTGTTTCCCCATTTTCCCACTGCTGACTGTATTTCATTACCTATAATCTCTTCTGACTCCTAATTTTTACTTCTTTGACATTAGTATTCCTTAAAAGAACTATTAGTTTTAGACTGGAACTATTAATTTGTGCCTTTTGGGCAAATTCCAAGGCTTTTTCAGATTTTGCACTTCAATAGCACTTCTTCCTTTTTTACATACAGTTCTTCATTCCACAGTCTGCAGTTTGACTGACTTCTGTCTTTCTACAGCACATCACCTCCTCACTTACTGTACTTCTGTGAGGCACTGCAGTGGAAGTGTTTCCTTTTGCTCTCGTGAAGCAATTTTCAAGGGACCGATACTGAAATATCTTTAAAGAGATACTGAGACATAACAACACTTAAAGCTGTAAGGAAATTTAAACAGTTCAGTAGGATTATTTTATACTCCCACTCTTTTCACACATCCTGATTTAGGATCCTGCCAACTACATCAATTTGTCCCAAACGAGTAGGTTAGATTGCTTAAAAAATCACTGTCAAAGGTATTAGCAAAAGTATGTTTAATATAAACTTGTGAAAGTGAGACTTTAAGTTAAGGGCAAGGTTCACTATACTACTTACTACATGGATGTAACATACAAGAAGAAAATCAAGTTAGAATTGAGCCAGAACAATTTACAGAGAGACTGAAGGGGCAGGCAAGAGGGCAAGGGAGACTCTCCCATTGGGAGAGAATTTGCTTTAGGCATCAGTCAATTTCCATCCGGACCGTAATCCAAAACAGTAATTACTGGAATTTTTCAAAAGTCCAGTAACAATGGTGCTGTTTCACTCAGGCTCTGATTCAGGTAAAGAATGTTCCAAGGTTTTCAGGGGATGACTGATTATCTCTTGTTCCCCTCCTTGGTCAGACAACAGAAGTTCCTGGTATGGACAGTGCCACCCTCCCCTTAGCCATGCAAGGGTTCCTGGTGTGGTCAAGGGACACTTCATCAGCCAACTCATTACACAAAGGCTAAGGCTTAACAGGAATTCCTGAAATCATAAAGCGGCCCCAAGAATGTATCACCACAACTCATCACCACATGCTGGAAGAACACCCTTCCTCACAGCCTAGCACATTTTCCTTGTTATTACTATTAGGAAAAAAGTGCCAATTATTTAAATAATCAAAATACCTACATTTTAACAAGTCTAATAAAACTAAGACAAATGAATTGTTTCAGAATCTGTGAAAGAATGTTCTCTTTTGGTAGTTGCAAAAAACCAATTTTGCCTTTAGAAACAGTCTGTTTATTATTAAGATTTAGAATACTCATTATTCTGGTACCTGAGCTCCAAAATGTGCAGCACAATACTTGACACCTTGAAGCTATTTTATTTAAAGGAAAGAACCTATTAAACTTCCATAATATTGTCAAATCAAGGCTGCAGAAGACAGTAAATAGTGGGTGCAGTTGCCTGCATATTCTGAATTTCCTTTCTTGCCCCACTGATACAATGTCCTTACTGGGATAATGTGCTCTATGGAAAAGACATGATCACACAAGACGCTGAATACAGGTTGTAGCTACAGCCTCCATTTTTTTTCCACTTCAAGTGTAGACCGAGCACTGTACAGGAGGAGGAAAGATAGAAAGAATTAACAGGGCTTTCACCCTGCATTATCTGGAAAAGTACACACAGCCTATCCCTGAAGCCTGATCAGTGTAGCACTGAGCACCCAGCCATGCATCTGTCTCGGACTACAGAGCTGGTATGACTTGAATAATTAGATTCATGTCAGAGGGCCACAGTCTAATCTTCAAAATGTTGCTTTGCAGTTGATAGGAATGTAACATTCACTAGATAGAGCACACTATAAACAGCTGTTATGAAGAAGATGTGGAACTAACAGCAATAACAAATGAAACATTAGAAGTACTTGGCCAGTAACTCCTTCATCAACTAGTGACTTAGTGTGACCTGACCTACATGGCCCCATCATAGACAGATAAACAACAGCAATTTAAGGGAAACTTAAAAATATTTAGAAATAGTCAGTGGAATACTATAATAAACAATAGGAGAGAATGCCACTCTAATAAAGCTTTTACATTCTAAAATACTATTAGAAGTACATACTTTTACTTGTGATCTAAATGCAGCCACCTACTAGGTAAGGTACCTGTTTGAAAAAGCAAATACCATTTATTAAGGGAACTCTTGGTACCATGGCACAGAATTCAGACGTTGGGAGTGCTGAGACTGCTACAATGCAGAAGATACTTCTCAGACATTTGCTACTGTTTTAAGTATACTGTGGAAGCAAGAACCTGTTCAGTGTTCTTGCTTTGATTCTGGCAAGGAAACCTCTGATGTTTTCTGACTGTCTTTTGAAGGTATTTTTTAAATTTCAGCTCTTAACTGCTCATGTCAAATGACTCAGGAATCATCTGCTTCACAGAGTACCTCTTTCTCAGTCTCTTGTTTTTCTTGAGCTCACAATGCCTCATACAATATTTGGAGGGAAGCAGGGAAAGAAATCTGTAATAGTGTTCCAGTGTTCTCTGACTTGATCTACCTCTGATGTGCTCCTTAAGATGTGGTGTAGCCTCCTCTCTGGCTTTTGTAATTTCTTAGTAAGGCAAGGAATTAATAAATCAGAAACAGCCATGACAGAGCTTTATTTTTTTTTTCTTTTTCTGAGGGAAGAGACTGTTCCTGTAGCCAGAACTGAGTATCTGGAACATGGTTTTCATGCAAAGTAAGGCTTAGTTCAACTGCCTGTAAAAGAAAGAGACTGACTCTAAAGTGACTCTGTCATTGCTCCTTTTGTATGCAGTGGCTGAATTCTCTTTTTTTGCATACCCCAAAAGACATTTAAGTACATTTTTGTCACAAGAAAAATGGAAGCTGATTTAAACTTCTTAATCCAGGGGGTGGGTTAGTCACTAGAACAGGCTCCCCAGGGAAGTGGTCACAGCACCAAGCCTTTCCAACTCAGGATATTCTATGACTCTAACCAATAGTGAACACTGTTTTATCCCCTTTTCTTCATTCCAGCCCATCAGGTCCTGTCTTCATGAAAGAAATGACTAGAATATCAAAGCTAACACCTCTGGAACAACCAGCTCTCCCTGTGCATCAAAGCTGCCAGAAGGAACTGTTCTAAAGGTGTAAGCACTGCTTAATCCTGTACAATTCCACAGGGTAGGTCTCTCTTCAAACAAGGTTTTCAGTAGCAGCTATGTAGGCAGAAATAAGAAACACTGCAAGATAAGGAGGAAGACAAAGTTGGTTTATATCACAACTTATCAGTCACTCATAGGCAGGAGCATGCAGGATGAGGTGAAAGGGTTAGAGAAAAAAATGTAGTTTTAAATGTATAACAATAGATCTAGAAACAGAATCCCCCTTCTCCCCATTCATCAACAAAAAATGAGTACAAGCTTCTCTGGAACCATTTTTTAAGACTGTCAGAGACTATTCTTAGTAACTCGGGGAAAAGGTTGTGGACAATATGAGTTACAGAAAGAACAGTTACCAGTGAAAAGAGTACGTGAGTTTCTCCACCTGCAAAATGTTGCTGTTGGATGAAAGACTTTTTGTTTTCTTCACTCAAAATTGTGTACTTGCTCTTTAAACTAAGAACTCTTCTAGAAAAACCAACACCACATATGATAATAGGCACTGGTCATCTGAATTTTGCTGAGTATCAAGCAGTTTATCTTTGCAGAAACTGATGTCAACATGCGAACTATTACAGTTTAAAGATTATTAAATTATAGCTATTAAGTATCACAACATAAACAGTCCTCTGCTACTCTGCTATGCAAAGGTCATGGAAATACTAATCAGAAGTTCTGGATTGTATCTTGCAATAAAGGAAGGATTATCCATCTCCATTACAATTTCTTCCCTGTTCCCTCACGAGAGCATGAGCACACTGACAAAAACCAAGGCTGGCAGCAGTGGTTTATGAGATGTGGTATGTCATAACACAATCCTGAAGCGAGAGCTCTTTCAGGAGGCAACAACTAGGACAGATCCTAACGAAACAAATTCTTGAGTTGAATGTAGAATATTGGCATGGCATCATCAATGCTGGTATTTTCAGAACCATACTGCAACAACACACACACCATCTATCCTGGCCTGTCATGAGAGAAAGCAATTTAAGGAGCATAAAATCACGACAAAGTGACTGGGCTGAATAGTGTGGAGTGCTGCTCAAATGCAGCTGTGACTCACCCTGGACACACACAGTGTAGTCTGGGTGAGAGGTAGTACCAGGCACTCTACCCTGTCATGGTACAACGAACCTACCCTGATGTTGTGCCTGCCTTTGATGTTTTACCACACTTGCCCTCCTGGAAGCTGAAGTATCTTACATACTGTGCATTGCAAAGGAAAGAAGTACAGTGCACACCAGGAATGGAAGTGATATGAGTGGACTGTAAACAAGCAAACAAAAGCTTGATATCTTTTCCCCCCTCCATTTGTTTCTCTGTAGCCTATAGTCCTATCTAAAATGCTTCTGCCTGTTACAGAAAGCCATCTTGTTGTGCAGAGAGTTTATAAACACAGTGTCTAGTTGTCCAACTGTTCCTAAAGTGCTGTGTGGCAGGACTTAATCACCAAGGAGAGGACAAGGAATACAGAAAAATGCTATTTAATGGGAAAGCACAGTGCAAAATGAAGCCAAGAGCAGGAATACTGCTAAACCATCAGTTATTTAATTTTGCCAAAATAAAACAAGGTACTTTGTTCTACAGTGTATTTATAGAAAGGAAAACACATTTTCTATTTTTCTCTTTTTTTTTTTCTTTTATTTTAACCCACCACTTAAAGTATTGTTCTGACATACACCACAGCAAATGGCTGGACTGCAGTGGAAACTAAACGAAGGCCTTAAAAACTTGGGAGTTTTTAAGCATGCTTGGCTTAAGGTACTCGAGATCAGTTGCGTGATGTTAATGTATCATTCCAGTTCACATTGCAGAAATATTACTGTAACACTCCCATGACAATGACACGACACATATATGTTCTTGGGACAGTCCAGTTTTAGGTGGCACTACACAAGTCAGAGAAAACTGAGAAGCTGAAACAATTATAGAATAAGGAAAAGCTTATGTAAGAGTTCTTCAGTATTTTTCTTCTGAAACCTGGAGGATTCAGGCATACAGTTATAGATTCAGGCATACTCTTCTTTGCAGAGGCCCGGTCATGTACATTTTAAACAGAAAAGCAAGTAAGTTGCCACTACTGTTTTATACTATTAATTTCAACTTTTTCACTTCTTAAGAAAATAAAAATCTTGTTTGCAGAAACTTTCATCCATTTCAGACCATGTGCCTCTCCCTGAGGACAAAAAATGCTTCATTTGCTCCGGGCTAAATTTCTGTTAAGTATTCTTAGTTTCAAAACAGATGAGCACTGAATGCATCTTGAACACCGAAAAACTAGTCACACCTGTCAAGTAAGGGGGGGAAGATAAAAATCTTGCTTACCTTTCCATAAACAACAGTTTTGATTAAAAAAAAAAAAGTAGTATCATCTAGTATATAATACTCATTTAACATTGTATTACATGTTATAAGGGACATTTAAATCAAATTTCAAGCAATTTTTTTTTAATTACAGTGAAATCACCTTTAACAGTTTCCCTGTCCACACCCCCCCTTCATGGTCATCAAATATGTCATCATCATTTGGGGATACAGAAGATACCAAAGTCAACAGCAGCTGTGATTTAATAATTAATGCTCCGATTCTTCTTATGGAGTCGGAGAAAATATGGTTACATTACATGTCATTATATTTACACAATGTTTACTTAGGAATGCAAAATCCAATCACACTGTGATATCGCATGTTGTTGTACTGATCAATCTTTCCAATGACACTGGCTTTAAAAAGTACTGTAATCTGATCCATATCTAGCAAGGTTAAAGTGAAGACCAGAACTTACTTCTGCAGGCATTCCAGCTCCGAAGGCAGGTCACAACCTACATAAACTCTATTCATTAAACTATATTCTAACAGTGCACAAAAACAGGGATCCTACAAGAGAACATTAATATATAATTGCAGTCATGCTGCTCTGTGAAATGAATTTTCAAACAAATTAACATGGCACATGAATGCAAGAGATTTAACATGACCTCTTCAAGAAACAGAACTCTACAAATGGTGCAAACATGGTGTAACATGGGAGGAAGACACCTATAGCTGCTCTAATTTACATATGTTACATGTAGGTGTAGGGGACTAAACTTTCTATTCAGGCCATTTGTGGAATATTGCTTTCCTTCTTATTCGTAAAGTCAGACATAACATCAGATATTAAGAAAAGCTCAGCTTACTCCAATGAAAGGACTATGCATAGGTTCAAAAGGAAAGCACCTTCCTGGCAGCTGCTGCATTAATTGGGAACAATCCCTTCTGCCTCTCTCCATTTAAAATGTGAAGTAACTTCACTTGAGGCTCTCTTGAGCCTTGAGGCTCTGACCTCATCTAGAGATGAAAAGGACTATGAGCCTGTATGCACAGAGTACCATTTCCTTTGTGCTTGGAAATCTACTGTGTAGGTGCCTGAACTGTCTATACTTACAGGAACCCACAGTGTTCATATCTTCCGAAATGCAAACTGAGGACAAAATACAAACTCTTAATATTCCAATGCTCCCTCAGATCAGATTAACACACAGAACCATTCAATTCCTGTGGCAAATAACACATGCAATTCGAAGATATAAAACCAAAACTTACTTTCACAAGAACATGAGGATTTCCCACGACAATCAGCAAAGCTTTTGCTCTAGTAATTGCTACATTAAATCTCTTTGGGTTACAGAGAAAGCCCAAACAGTATTTTTCATCATCAATTAAGTCTTCCTGAGATCGCACCTGAAATAAATTAAGGATGATTTCAGAAATAGCATAACAAGAACACAACTTACCTAGCCATAGTGTAACTTAATATTTCCTGACTGCAATGATTGCATTCAGTTGAATGACAATTCACAGTGTGTCTTTTCTGGAAGCCTTCTTAAGCAGTCTCATCAGTGTGCTTTGACTTAGCTTAGAAAAAACAGCCAAAGCAACAAGTGTGCTGTAACTATTGCTCAGTTGTTTTTCACCTCTATTTTGTCTATATTTGAACCTATCTTTGAAAAATGAAAATTTTCATGACCTAAATAATGAGTTCTTCTAAACAGCAGCATAGTACATACCCAGAACTACTTTAAGAGAATACAATGCTGGACTGAAAAGCTATGGTATGAGGCAGAACAAAGAAAGTAAGCATTGTACCACTGCCATCAGGGAAAAAAAAAAAAGTGAGAAAATCCCACAGACTCTTCCCCCAAACCACAAAGGTAAGTACTCAGTACCATAATTTCAACAGAAAGCAACAGATTTTTAATAATCCAGATTTTAAAGAGAAGAATAACTCTACATGCATGCACCTAAAAATAAGCTCTACCTTCAAACACTGTGACAGACTGATAAAAATACAGCTTGTAATTTTTTAAAGGCCTATATCTAAAAGGAAACAGAATTAGACACATATAAAACCACCACAATAAATATACGTACTGTTGATAAGATGATAGCTGTATACTCCTGCCCTTGAAACTCTTCTACTGTGCCAACTTTAATATCTGCCAAATCAATACTTCTCAGAAGAAATTTAATTTTTTCCACCTACCATAAAATAAAAAAAAACGTTCGAAGGAATTTACTTTTACATTTGAGAGTGGATTACTTTTAAAACCAAAACCACACCACATATACAAGTATGAGTTTTAACATGGCAATGTCAAAAGGAATGCCTACAGCAAGCTTAGCCACCATCCACTACTAAGATTTTAAAATAAAACAGTAATTTTTCCTCAGAAATATCGCACTTATTACACAATGTAGAAGATAAAGTACTTCCTACCATAATTTAAACAGAAAGCAAGAGATTTCTAATAATCCAGATTTTCAAGACAAGGATAATTTAGCTCCATAAACCCTCTTCTTCCAATGTGCATCATATCCAAAACCATGCATACCACAGATGTGGTAGGGCAAGCAGCTTCCTCCAGCCCCTCAAGAAGACTGTACAGAGATTCTACCTTTGCTTGCCAGGTGCATCATACAGAGTGAAAGGCAGAGGTGAGATATGATTTTAAGTACCCTCCCAAAAGAGAAGGAGTCTCATGCACTGGGATCCTTGCATATGTGGGATCACTATACCGCCATCTGTTAAAAGCTGTTTGGAGATTATACCTGAAGTGCTCCAATAAATTTAAGAAGGTATCATGCCTGGCTAAGATGAGAATTA